TTCTTTTTTTTTTTTTTTCATATTGCTAATTCCATTTTTCCTGCTATAAAGGAGTTTTAGATTAATGTTATTTTCAGCTTTTCGAGTCATTAAACTACTTCTAGTTTTAAACCTCCTCCAGCCCCCCCCCCCCCCCTCTCTCTCCCCAAAGCAGTCATATTTTCAATTTCAATTTTCTGTTTGTATTATGTACGTTGTTTGAGAACAAGTGATCTGAAACTCGTTTCTGTGTTTGTTCAACTAAACAATTTATTTGTGTAAATGTTCAAATAATTTATATTTATCATCCTCCAAATTTCAAATGTCAATGTTTTTATACTACATGCTATGCTAAGTACTTCATATTGCTCTTAGCTCCTTGTAACGCATCCATTATAGGAAAGAATGATGGAATTTGTTTTTCAGTTCACGTAACTGTAGTTTTGCTTTTCATAGCTGCACAATTGATGTAATTCTAATCCATTTTTCAGTTTAAGCTACCAGCTTTCAGGAGGTTTTGATGGTTGAATTCTGTTTCCAGCTCAGATTATTTTTCCTTTTCTTTTTCTGGGTTCTATTGTTTGTCCCCAACGTGATAGTATTAAAAGTTACCACAGATTCCTATTGGTTAGGCATGTCCTTTTGTTTTCCTGGGCCTTTTAGCTATCAGAGAAAAAATGTATTGATTCACCGTACTATTATCTGATTAGGCTTCCTTTAAGGTTTTGAATGCTCAGTTAATTGTCGTGGTTTCTTTATTTGCTGTTTATTTATCCCCTCACTTTTTCCCCTCTTTACAGCCTCAATAAATGATTCCTCTCCACCAACTAGCTTGCCTGATCAGAAGGTGCTTAATGAACAGCTGCCACCCAGATTTGGCAACGGATCAATTTCAAAAAACGAGTCCTCTCAGCCTACCAGCATACCTGATGACACGCTGGTTAATGGACTTTTGGCTCCCGGATCTGGTGATGGATCAAGTTCAAAAAACGATTCCTCTCAGCCTACCAGCGAGCCCGATGAGAAACCCCTTCCCTCTCAGCCTACCAGCGAGCCTGATGATAAGCTGCTCGTTCAACCATTGGCTCCTGGATTTGTTGAAGAATTAGGTTTGAAATCTGGTTCCCCGCAACCTACCAAAATGGCTAATGATAAATTGCTTGATGGGCTTCTATCCCCTGGGTTTGATGAAAAATCCTGCTTGAGTAGATACCGTTCTTTCCTATACCGCAAAGCTTCTCAACATAAGCCCTCTCCCTATCTCCTTTCCAAGCTACGCGAGTATGAAGCTCTTCATAATCGTTGCGGACCATACACCAGATCTTACAATGAAACATTAAAAAGACTCAAATCTAGCCATACAGGTAGTACTGGTGGGTGTAATTACATTGTCTGGTTGGGTTCTAACGGGATGGGGAACAGGATAATAAGCATGGCTTCAGCATTTCTTTATGCTCTCCTTGCAAATCGAGTCCTACTTGTTGATCATGGCAGGGACATGACTCACCTCTTTTGCGAGCCATTTCCCAACACGTCATGGATATTGCCCATGGACTTCCCTATTAAAAAACAATTCCATACCTTGAAACAGAGACATGATCGTTTCAGAGATATATCAGAGTCGTCGCCCCCATCATTTGTATATGTTAATATACCTCACGGTACTTACGATTTTGATGAGCTTTTCCTGTGTGACCAGAGCAGAGCTCTTCTCGAAAAAGTTCCTTGGTTTTTTCTATCGTCTGACCAATATTTTGCCCCATCTTTCTTCCTGAGCCCATCTTTCAAGCAAGAGGTAAGCAAGCTGTTCCCGGAAAAAGAAACCATTTTCCATCAATTGGGTCGCTATCTTTTCCACCCCTCCAATCAGGTTTGGAGAGTAATCACAAAGTTTTATCAGACTAATCTAGCGAAGGCAGAACAGAGAATTGGCCTCCAAATAAGAGTATTTAACCGCAAGGCTAGTCCAGTTCAAGTGGTCATGGGTCAGATATTATCCTGTATGCTGAAGAAAAAGCTTCTTCCAGAAGTTGATACCCAGAGCGATGTACGTTCTTCTCGTCCAAATAATTCTTCTAAAACTATTTTAATAACTTCCTTGTATTCAGACTACTATGAGAACATGAGTGCCATGTACCAGTCAAAACCTACTGTGACAGGTGAAGTGATCAGGGTTTGCCAGCCAAGCCACGAAGAATATCAACACAAAGCGGATAACCTGCACAACATGAAGGCGTGGGCAGAAATTTATCTGCTGAGCTTGAGTGATGTTCTAGTCACTAGTGCCGGGTCAACCTTTGGCTATGCTGCACAAGGTCTTGGAGGGTTGAAGCCATGGATTTTGATTAGACCAAGGAATAAAATGGTTCCAGATCCGCCTTGTCGACAAGACAAATCCATGGACCCTTGTTTCCACTATGCTCCCAGTTATGAATGTAAGGCGAAGCACAAAACTGATTATTTCACTGTTGTTCCTTTTGTAAGGCATTGTGCAGATCGGCAGACAGGAGTGAAGCTTTTTAATGATCATAAACGATTGTAGCGGAAACTACTTGTAAGTTGTAACGATGAGTGGTAAATTGATTTATATTTTAGCTTGTTGCTGCAGGTGCATGTTCTTGTGTGAATATTTTGTAATATTCTTTCATGCATCCGTTGACAATAAGGGCAGTTATCATTGTTTGCAAAAATTTGAATTGGTGGTTACGGAAATTGATCGGTGATCCAGGTATTGATGTTGAAGGGTGCCTCGTCATCCTATGGCCATGTAACAGGTGGAAGATGAATGGAGTTTAGTTTCAAAGAACGGAAGCGTGCTTCCTTGAGATTATCAACGACTTATCGTTTGAATTCCTGATTTTCCTTTATACGAGTCGTTTGTGTTTAGAAAAATCTATACTCCCTATTGACAAGTAACGACCACCGACCACTTAAATTTGTAGACTATTTTTAGCCACATGTTCCATTTCTAAGAGTTGAACAAGTGTTAAGGGTATGGAATCTCTTGTCTAAGCAAAAAGTACAAAATATAAAAACAGAACCAAAATATAAAAACAGCACCAAATTTAATTTTATTGTACGTTCGGAATGTAATTTTGATTATATTTTAAAATATTTTTTATTTAGAAATATATTATAATAATATATTATTTTTGATTCCAAATTATCAAAATATTTAAAAAATACAAAAAAAAAATTTAAAACAAGAAAAAAATATTATCAAAACATAAAGACAAATAAAACTTTAATTTTTGATCATCAAAATAAGTTAAAAATACAAAAAAAAATTTAATTTAAAACAAGAAAAAAATATTATTAAAACATAAAGACAAATAAAACTTTAATTCTTGATGTTTACAATATTATTTTATTGGTAGCATTTTGATGAAGATATTTTTATATCTTGTTAATGTTTGATTTACATGGATAAACTCTTATGCGAAACATCTCCTAAGAGATGAATGCTAGATAATATAGATCCTGGTCCTGGTATGTTTTTTTTTCTTATATATATATATATATAATTTATAACTTCCATTTAGCCAGATTTTTTTTGTTTAATGTGATTTTATTTACTATATACATACATTCAAATGAACAGTTATTAAGCCCCACTGGAAGCTGTTTCAGGTGCAGGCTCTTGTCATGAGATAGATAGACCTAATTAATTTAAGTTAATTAATTTTTTTAAAAAAATCAAAATAAAATCATCTTAAAAGGAATTTTTTTTTAAAATGTCAAAGATTTTGTTTAGATTAATTAAATTACAAGTAAATTTAAGTTTTTAATTGAATCATATTTAGTTAATCTCAAATAATTTTTCCTTTTTAAGAGCGGGGCACTGAGTTGTTGGGTTTTGTTAACGATGTGATATATATATATATATATATATATATATATATATATATATATTTATA